CTTCGGTCAGCCGAAGCTTATATACCCTTGCAGATAAAGCAAATACCTATAGTTTAATGCTTACTCGGTGTAGTTCCAGGGATTCCAGATTCAGCGTGCCTATTTAAATTTTGTTTTTAAGTTGTCAAAAATCAAAACGCCTACTCCCTACAAAGTTACAATGAATGTTCTTATTAATTTGAATATTCCTGTGGGAGACTTAAGATATAGTGGTCCGATCCGGCTCGCTCCGACATATGTACTACCTGCAATATAAAGAAGACTTTCGGGAAAATTTCATCGCGACAGCTTTAAAACTGAGAGACTAGTTCCGAGTCTATCTCGGCTATTGGTGCTGATCAAGAATATATATACTTTATGTGGTCGGAAGCGTCTCCTTCACTGCGTTGCAAAAATCTGACTGAAATTATAATACCCTCTGCAAGGCTATAAATATTTTCAAAGCCTACCTTTTAAACAAAACAAGAAGCTTATATACCCTTGCAGATCATTCCTATTAACTTACAAAAACATTAAATTAGGATTTGCTTTTTTTTTATTTTGGCAATATTTTTTGATCCTTCCTATGGGAGCTATATAATATAGGCGTCCGAATTTTGTTAAATTTTATTCGAAATTTTGAAATCATAAAGAAAAGCTATATCCCAGTGAAGAAGAAAATGTAATAAAAATCAACAAAAATATAATTTTTTTCCTATTAATTTCCATTTAATTTTTCGACCGTTCCTATGGCAGCTATATAAAAAATAATATTCCCAAGAGTAGAAGGTAATATTTGAAAGAACACCGAATCTAGAATTTCTTTAACGTTTTTTTTTCCGATCCTTCCTATGGGAGCTATAAGATATTATCTGTTATCTGATACGGCCGCTTCCGACTTATATACTACCTGCAATAGAAAAAGACTTTTGGGAAAGTTTCATCCCAATAGCTTAAAAACTGAGAGACTAGTTTGCGTAGAAACAGACGGACGGACAGACTCGACTCGTCTAGTTATGCTGATCAAGAATATATATACTTTATGGGGTCGGAAACTACATTAGCTAGAAGGTTGAGATTTCCCACACATATTCTTGGGCTTCCTACGCAACGCAAGTTTATTTCAGCCGAGCGCCACGCCCCCTCTATCGCCCACAATCGGCAACTAACGATTTTAATTTGTCTGGCAACCGCACCTTTAAAAATTTCCGAGAATTATAAATGCAATTTTGTTGTGTATATTTATACCTATCGAAATGTAGAAGACATTTTTAAAATCGGACCATTCATTAAAAAGTTACGCGCAATCAAAATGTTATATATCCCACTCCCTCGGGACACCAACCCGATTATAGCGTTTTCTCTTGTTAAATTAAAAGATATCCCTGAACCTCTTAATAATGTCCTGGGCAGTAGACTTGACTTATCTGACCAATCCAGTGAATTTCCGAACAGTTTTCCGTTCGAAATTGAGTTTTCCAATCAATTGACGAAGTATCGCAGAAATTTGCTTTCCGTGAAGTCATTTTAACATTTTTTTGCAGTGTAATGATGGTTTCTGCCCTTAATCTCTTGTAAGGTGATATAGTAAACGATAAATAACAGCAAATAAACTATATATATATAAATATATATATTTAACCTATTTTGTTTAGTTTTCGAGAACGTTATGCAAGTGCCATATATATCAGCGTCATCTCTTGGTTTTTATACCCTTGCAGAGGGTATTATGATTTCAGTCAGAAGTTTGCAATCTTTGAGATCTCGGAAACCATAAAAACTAGAAGATTGACATTTTGCATGCAGATTCTAGGAGTTCCTACGCAGCGCAAGTTTGTTTCAAAAGGGTGCCACACCCCCTCTAACGCCCACAATCGCTAATATACGATTTTAAATATTTCAATATTTAGGAAAAGTAAAAATGCAGTTTTATTGTGTTTATCAATATTTATCGAAAAGTAGAAATTTTTTAAATCGTACCATTCGTTAAAAAGTTACGGCGGATCAAAGTTTTTATCTCCATCTCCTTCGCGCTCCCTTTAGCTAAGTAACGGGTATCTGATAGTCGGGAACCGGAGTGGTTCACTTTTTTTAGAAAACGAACCGAATTGTAAACCGGAGCGCCGAATTTTTTTATAATTGAACCGGAACCGAACCGGAACTTTTTTTTTTGATATTCGGTTCGGTTTTATTTATTAAATTAAATTTATTTTGTGTGTTCGTGTTTTTTTTTAACAGTGTGGGGGTTTTCTGATCATATTAACATAGAGTTTATTTACTAAGGGAAAAAAATGCGCAAATTTTTTTGGCTATGCAATGACTGCATCTAACTCAAACAATCTAATAATATATAACTATCATCTTCCAAAACTTTTCGCAGTATGCCCACATTAAAATTACATGATTAAAGCAAAGAGTATACTCTTTGCCTTAACTGGTAAACACTTTATAAATTTAACTTTACTTATAAGTCTTAATGTTATGGTACATATTTCAATGAAAATACATGGAAATAAATGTTGACTTTATTATTTCATTAAAAAAAATTTATTTTTTTGAACTCTGGTTCGAACCTGAACCCTGCTCCGGCTCATCATTGTACCGGTTCGCAAACCGGAACATTATCTGTCGATTAGGTTTGAACCCCGAACCGAACCCATGCAAAAATAATATGGGTTCACAGCCCTGATTGTAATAATGTTAAGTTATCACTGTTGTTGGTTAGGTCAATTGGACAAGTCGCAAAATACATAGACACATTTCAATGGACAGGTCCCAGTTAAGCAGCTTAAACGTGATTGCGTCTTTTTCCTCGAATTTAAGTAGCTTTTTGTGCATATGCACTCACTGCACGGGTACATTGGCTTCTAGGTGCTTCATCTGCTCCTTGGTCACCGTTCAAGGTACACATACGCACTCGCATGAACATAATACATACATATCTGCTCTCGTTTGTGCGAGCATCCATTTATGACTTTTCATTGAGGCAACGTGGCTTGGGGCAATTCGGTGCGGGAGGCGGGGGCAAAAGGACGTGGACAGCACGACAGCGTTGGGGCAATTCAAATGAATTTTTGCGCTCGCTCTGCAACGTTTTTAATTGAAAAACATTTTCGTTTTGGTTTCGGTTTTGGTTTTCGTCTAGGCCAGAAAAACGTGCCGCTGCCACTTGCTGGCCATAAGCCTGTTTTGGCTGGGAGTCCGCCTCTCGGCCCCTTCTGGCCCTTTCGACCAGTTGCCTTCTGCCGCCTGGTGGCAAACAATTCCACCGCAAGACCATGCCGAATATGGCCGTGCGACGTACTGTGCGCACGCGTTCGTGCATAAATTCTACCAAGTGTCCATTTTTCTGATTTGTGTGCAAAGTTTTTTCCTTGTTGTTTGCCAGCCGCCGCTCAGCGTTGACTGACTGCCCAGGACGAGGACAAGGATAAGCATGCTGCTGGGAATGGTTTTTGGGGGTTCCGAGAGGGATGTTCGTACGATTGGTAAGCCGGAGATGCAGTCTTGTTGCCTTGACTGCACTGAAAACAAGTATAGTAATACATTTCACCCAAACGCAGCCAGGCAAATGTAGATATTCGCGTATACATATGTCTATTTTGTATCCAAACTATTATAAAGTACCTAAAGAATTTGTTAAAATCTGTTTTAACAAGAAATGAAGATAGCTTTGGTCAGCCGAAGCGTGTGTAGCCTTGCAGATCATTCCTATTAATTTACAAATCGGGAAAATGTTAAATTTCGTATTATTTTGACATTTTTTTTCTATCCATCCTATAGCAGCTATACAATGTAGTCGGCCGATTTTTGTTAAATTTAATTCGAAGTTCGGAAATAATAAAAAGCAGTCATACCCTAGAGTAGAAGAGAATACAATAAAAACCAAAAAAAGCTATAATTTATTTCCTATTGTTTACCCGTTAATTTTCCGATCGTTCCTATGGCAGCTATATAATATAGTCGTGGGATTTTTTGAAATTTAATTCGAAACTCAGAAATATATAAAACAAGAAGGGAAGCTACCTTCGGCCAGCCGAAGCTTATATACCCTTGTAGATTAAAGAATGCTTACTCGGTGCAGTTCCAGGGATTCCAGATTCAGCGTTTCTATTTATTTAAATTTTGTTTTTAAGTAGTCAAGAATCAAAACGCCTACTTCCTACAAAGTTACAATGAATTTTCTTATATTTGTTTGAATATTTCTATGGGAGCCTTAAGATATAGTGGTCCGATCCGGCTTGCTCCGACATATGTACTACCTGCAATAGAAAGAAGACTTTCTGGAAAGTTTCATCGCGATAGCTTTAAAACTGAGAGACTAGTTCGCATAGAAACGGACAGACAAACAGACGAACAGACGGACAGACGGACATGGCTAGATGGACTCGGCTATTGGTGCTGATCAAGAATATATATACTTTATGTGGTCGGAAACGTCTCCTTCACTGCGTTGCAAACATCTGACTGAAATTATAATACCCTCTACAAGGGTATAAAAATAATAATGCAAGGATAGGGGAGAGGTTTGTAGGTTGGTATACTTTTTGTTTTTAATCTGCCATTTCGACATTCACTTGTGAAACTTCACGTATTTGGTACTGATCGAAAAGTTAGTCTATTAGCTTTAAAAAAACCAAAAAAAAAATTGTTTTTTCGTTAGGGAAAACTAAAATATATATTTTTTTTAAAAGTGTCAAGAAACGACATTTTGAAAAAGAGTTCTGTTCGTTGGGTCACTTTTATAAGTCAATAATACTCACACCAAAATTTTAAAAACTATTTATTTATGTTAATTTAATCAATTTTAGTTCGTCTTAAATTATTTCCCATAAATTTTTAAAGAAATTAGACCAAATAACAATTAAAACCAAAAGGCTCATTGAACATTAACTTTTCCCCTAATATCAAAGAAATGTACTTGGCAGAAAGCGACCTCTGTCGGGCTAAGGCCCGATTTATTTATTAAAATAAAATAAAATAATATTAAAATAATTAAGGTCGGAAAAATGTTCTAGTATATAGTAATAAAACATTTACAGTAGTAGCATTTGTTTAATAAAAAAATCTAAACTTAAAAATAAAATGAAAAAATATTAAAATTATTTTTGAAAAATCCTTAGTTTAGGACAATTTTGAGTGTAGGTTTGTCCTTCTCCGCTATTCGGCTACAGTACTGTTCGCATGCAAATGCGGGCAGAAATAGAAAATGAATTCATTCAAAGAAATACTAAGGATTTTCTATTAAATTTCCGCGGCCAGTGAAAGAAATGCGTACAAACAAGAAATTAAAAAACAAGAACGCGACGAAACGTTTTAAGAATTTTTAATTAAAATGGCAAACGCTCGGCCCAATACGCCTTTAATCAGTGCTGGACAGATCAGCTTTCATTCCACACTCATTGCGCATACGTCTCGTGGCCAGTCGTTGAGTTTTCTGCCGCTAATGTCTTTATTTCTTCTTTAACCACGGTATCCGCCTTGGGCCTGAGATACATTTGGTGACCATTTGGTATGCTCTCTTGGTCTCGGTGCATCAGATAGTCTTCGGCATCCCAGACCTGCTGGTCAGTGGTGCCCCAAATAAGGTACACCAGGTTGCCGAAGAAGAAAACAACGGCTGTCATGGCAAACACGATCTGCCACTGGCTTCTTGAACCCTGAAAAAAGGAAAAATAATGAGTCATTACATTCATGTTAAACACTGCAAACCTTAAATATTGAGGATAAATTCGCGTTTTCATGATTTTTGTGCCCGTTATTTATTTAGTTCTTCTTCCTACCGCTACAAGTGTAATACTTATAATTTAATGCGCTAGTCCCACCGGACAGTAAAGGGGCTGTCCATATAAGGTGTGCGAAATAAGTAATTAGGACAAATATATGTCTGATAACATTACTTACATTATTTAATGAATCACTTTTTTCTTTTCGTTAATATTTCGCTAGCAAAAAGCGCGAACTACGAGCAAAGAACTTTGAAAAAGTACCGCAAGGATTTCCCGTTAGATTTATTTATAGTCACAAGGTTCGCTTCTACGAACGAAATAAGTAAGTAGGACAGATCACTTTTCTTTGCTTTGCTTGAAGGTGACGACGTTAAATGTGATTGAATAAATTTAAATTTACTTAATATACACCAAAGAGTGAGTTAAATCAGAAATCAGTACATTGGATAAGGTTTAATACATTTTTAAAATAGGATATGCCGGGAGTTACCCATTTAAGCGATATAGAACGTGGAAAAATATTGGCACTGCGAGAAACCGGAATGTCAATACGTAAAATTGCTGAAAACGTTGGAAGAAATAAGTGTACGGTGGAAAAACTACTTAAGGATCCTGAAAACCATGGAAAAAAACCACGGACTGGTCGCCCCCCTTTAGTTAATGACCGAGACAAAAGAAGAATTACATTTCTAATTGTCAACGAAAATATCAGTGCATCCCAAATCAGAAGTCAGTTGACTCTCCCGATATCAACGCGACGAGTTCAACAAATTTTAAAAGCTTCTGAAAACGTTTCATATGAAAAAAAACTGCTTAAACCTGAGCTACTGCCAAGTCACAAATCTGCACGGTTGAACTTTGCCAATAAATACAAATTTTTGGACTCGGAGTGGAAAAATATTATTTTTAGTGATGAAAAAAAGTTCAATTTAGATGGCCCTGATGGTTACCGATATTATTATCGCGATAAGCGGAGTCCAAAAAAGGTCCACTTAGCAAGAAACTTCCATGGAGGCTCTCTTATGATTTGGGCAGCGTTTGGATAATATGGGAAGTCTCCAATATGTTTTGTAACACACAAAATGAATGCAGCAACCTATGTAGAGTTATTGGAAACACACTCATAGAAATTTTTACCCTAAATCGCCCTAAAAAACTGACTTTTCGCCCGTGGATTTAGAAAATCGCCCATAAATCGTATCCGCTGGCGATTCGCCCGTGTATTTAGAAAAATTTTCTAAAAAATCCCGATGGAAATTTGGTTTAATTTAGGGTGATTTTTCTTGAAATAAGAAATATTTTCCTGTTTTTAGGGTGATTTGCCCTAATTTTAAGGTGTATTTTTCTAAAATTAAGGGCGAATTTTCTGTTTTTATAGGCGAATGCCCTAAAAAATTAGACAAATTAAAAAAATTCGTGTTTGAGCATGCTTAACTGAATTTGGGAAGCATGTTTTTTTTTTAATCGTCTATATTCTGGGAACTGGGACTGCTTTAATTAAACAACACCGGCGGAGGACACCGTTTCATATTATTGTATTGGTGTGTAGCTTATATGGGAGTCGCGTTAAGAGGGGGGCCCGATCTATACAGCACAGCCGTTAGAACTGAAAAATCATGTTTGTAAATAAATTAGGGAAATAAATATGAGGAGAAAAAACAACTTACTTTTTTTGGTCATTGCGAGAATCGAACCCACGACCTCTCGGTTCAGAGTCTAACGTCCTACCGCTGCACCACAGACCCCTCGCGCAAGACGACGAACAAACTCTGCACACATCTTATTTTCTTGAGGTCTACGTTATAATATGACTAAAGGCAACTAAACCGTATATTTTTTTCCTGACGACTGTGACAATTAGTCCCGTTTTCTTGCCCGCAAACACAAAGTATGCTTTTAACTCAGAACTCCCATACGTTTTTAAGGTTTAAAGACTACTTTAATTTAAAATTCGGGCGAAAAAATGTCCTCAGTATTATAATGTTTACAAAAAAAAAAAAAACATAAAAATCAAGTTGAATCACACAGGGTTCGAACCCACAACCCCACGACCTTAGTCCTCATATAGCAAAGTTGAAAGCGCAAGTGATTAGACCGCTGGGCTACCGAATTGGAATCACTTTTGGAGTGATTTTTAAGGCAAACCGCCCTTGTATTTAGAAAAATTTTAGAAAAAAAATTAGGGCAATTCGCCGTTGGATTTAGAAAAGGTCAAAACGAAGCAAACCGAAAAAAATCGCCCTAAATATTAGAAAAATAGAAAAATTAACCCTAAAAATATTTTTTTATGGTTACCTGCCTTAAATTTATGGCAAATTTGTCGTAAAAATAGAAAATTTTTCTCAGTTCAAATGCGAAAAATTTTTTAGGGCGATTTTCTAAAATGTAGAAAATTATTTTTATGAGTGCAGTTTTGGTAACATTTGGAGAGGACTATTTTGGAGATATGTGGACTTTTCAACAAGACAATGCCCCTATACACTGTGCGAAGCTCACAAAGTCCTTTTTCGCCGCGTCGGGTATACCACTTTTGGAATGGCCAGCAAAGAGTCCGGACCTAAATCCTATAGAAAACCTTTGGGGCATACTTTTCCAACGAGTTTATGCCAATGGAAGACAATTTGGAACTCTGAAAGAGCTTAAAGAAGCCATTGTAAAAGAGTGGGACAAATTAGACGACCAAATGCTACAGAACCTTACTAACTCCATGCCAGGACGAATCCTAAAGGTGTTGAACAATAAAGGATGTTCCATTTAAAATAAATTTAACGTTCTAAATGTAGAAATTCAGTTTAATAAGCGTTAGCTTGGACTTTTTGGATTTGTCCTATTTAGTTATTTCGTTTGAAAAAATTTTCTTTATTTTTTAAAAAATATTTTTATAAGTTTTATTTGAGTTGTGATATTTTTATTCTCTTACCAAAATAGCCATTGGTGCTGCAATAAAATGTTATTATGTTTTCTTACAAACAAAGCTGTCCTACTTACTTATTTCGTGCACCTTATTACGTAATCACGTTTTTGGTGATTTTTGACCCCCTCCCCTTCTGGTGATCAAAAGTAATCTTTCAATAAACAACACCCCCAAATGATTACGTAATCCCATGAATACAATTTTTTTTTGCTTTAATCTGTGGATTCAAACGGAGATGCAATCTAATCTTTAATATTGCTTATAAATGGAGTTTGGTATGACACATTCGGTTCGTCTACGCTGAAATTATCTCCAACATACTCTTCGTCTAGCCATTCCAGGTCTTCGCATCCTTCGTGTGATTGAACCACTAAACATTCTCTTTTTTCGCCGCCCAGCCACTATCTAAGTTTGTAGATATAATTAAAGGAAACAAGTTTTTAAATAAAACAAGAAAGGAAGCTAGCTTCGGCCAGTCGAAGCTTATATACCCTTGCAGATCATTCCTATTAATTAACAAATCGCAAAAATGTTCAATTTTCTAATATTTCTCATTAATTTTCCGATCGTTCCTATGGCAGCTATATGATATAGTCGTCCGATTTTGATCAAATTAAAATTGAAATATTTAAAAATAGGTATATCCTAGAGTAGAAGATAATACAATAAAAACCAAAGAAGCTAGAATTTATTTCCTATTACTTTTCCATTAATTTTCCGATCGTTCCTATGGCAGCTATATGTTATAGTAGTCCGATTTTTTTAATAATTAATTCGAAATTCAGAAATATTTAAAAAATAACATCCCCAAAAGTAGAAGGTAATATTTCAAAAAACACCGAAGCTAGAATTTTTTAAAGTTTTTTTCTTCCGATCCTTCCTATGGGAGCTATAAGATATAGTTGTCCGATCCGGTCGGCTCCGACATATATACTACCTGCAATAGAAAGAAGACTTTTGCGAAAGTTTCGTCCCGATAGCTCAAAAACTGAGAGACTAGTTTGCGTAGAAACGGACGGACAGACGGACGGACAGACGGACATGGCTAGATCGACTCGTCTTGTGATGCTGATCAAGAATATATATACTTTATGGGGTCGGAAACGTCTCCTTCACTGCGTTGCAAACTTCTGACTGAAATCATAATACCCTCTGCAAGGGTATAAAAATACATATAAAATGATTACGTAACCATTGCGCAAGACACCCCCCCCTCCCCATGTAATCAAACATAATCATATCAATGACCCCCTCCCACCCTAGGTGATTACGTAATATATGGACAGCCCCAAAATGGTTTATTGTATGTAACAGGTAAAGGATGCGTTTCCGACCCTATAAAGTATATATATTCTTGGTCGGCATCACTATGAACATTGAGATCTTGAAAATATTTTAAAGCTAGAGAATTGGGACTCACCCTACACATTCTAGGGGTCCCTAAGCACCGTTTTTTCAACAAAGCGCCTTTGTGGCGACTACAGTTTTAAAGCTAGATTGAAACTACCGTTTGTCCATCTGTCTGTCCGTGTAACGCTGAGGTATCGGAAACTATAAAAGCGAGAGAGTTTTTGGATTTAGATCAGCGGTCGGCACACACATACGTTGACATTTTGTTTTATATTTGTGTGAGTAATTTGCACTGGGCAGCTCATCGATGTGTGTGTGCCGACCGTTGTTCTACAGTGTACGTGAGCGAGCAGCGGCTGGGCAGAACAAAACCCTATGCTCACTTAATAGGACGCTGCCGACCGCTGATTTAGATACTTCAGCTTCCCATTCAGCAATGTGCATAAAGTTAGCAGTGCAACTTTTGATTTTCAAATTTTTTTTTCCCTATAATAAAAAAAAAACAAGAGAGAACGCTATAGTCGGGTTGTTGTCCCGACTATCTAATACCCGTCACTCAGCTAAAGGGAGTGCGAACGCTGTGTCGGGTTGGTGTCCCGACTAATAATCGTAACTCAGCTAAAGGGAGTGCGAGGGAGATAGATATATAATTTTTGATTGCGTATAA